TCCCATTCGCTCCACTTAGCGTACTGCTTCGCCTCCCATTGCTCCCAGCGTTCGTCATTCCGAGTAATGTAGGCCTCCACTTTAGCATTGTGCGCCACTTGTCGGGCCTGATACTCGGCTTGTTGTTGCTGGTACTGCATGAACCACGCCGGGGCTTGCTGATAATCTATCTGAGCGGGCTCGTCCTCGTCACTGGAAGCGTGGTCGACCGGTTCCTCATGCTCGTCTGCCACTGGTTGAGAAGGGCCTCCTGTGGCTTGTTTCGACAAAGCCGCTTCCTGGGCCAATCGCTTCACCTTCTTCATGTAAGTGTCATAGCATTTACGTTCAGTATAGTGCGTGATCTGCCCCCTCTTGTCCAGAAAACCCCCAGCCCTGAGCTCGGGGAAACTGATGGCCAAAGGACCGAGGCCTTCCTCAGTAGAGGCTGGAATCTTGAAAGGATCAGCGATATCCGCCACGACATGCCCCAATGTAGGGAAGCTCGACGTATTTCGGCGTGTGTTCATAAGATCATGCTTGAGGAATGGGAGAAGACACACCGGTTTGTTGTGGCACATGTTCCACATCATGAACACCTCCTGTTCGCTCACTTTATTTGCCTCCTTCTTCCCAAAGATGTTGTAAGAAAGGAACTTATGCACAACCGCGATGGGCAATTCTTTGATTAGACCCGCCGATGGTCCCTTCTTGTTGAAAGTTTTGCACGGTGATAAGTCGGCCCAATGCTTGTCGGCCTGGGACTTCCCGGGTTTCTGGCGAGCTCCCGTTACCTTCAAACCGTATATTTGGCTAAGCACCTTATCCGTAATCTTGACCTCTTTCCCATTCCAACGACAAGTGAGGTAATTGTCGTTATCATGCATCTCAATCGTGCTGAAACACTGGAGTGTGAGGGTCCGGAAGGAAGTGAGATTCTGGAGTTACGCATATTTCTCCAATTGTAGGACTTTCAAGTACTTTCGAACTTCCTCTTCGATGTTAAGGTTTTTCAGGTAGGTCCAGTCGAGAACTAGGGGATGCGGCATAGTACGTGCGGCAAGGCGCTTGTACGTGGCTACCTCCGAGTCGTTGAAAACCGGAAACGGGATACCATGGATTTGGGCCAGAGTACGAGTCTCACTTCCCGCGTTAGAATCCGAGTGGTGTGAGCTAGAGTCCGAGCTAGAATCCGAGTGAGAATCCGAACCGTCGGAGGACTCGGGTGGAGTGGCGGCCCGACCTTGCCTTTGTTCTTAGGAGGAGGTTTCGATGTGTTCTTGGTCCTCACCATACTCGCTTTGTGACATTGTTGGAGATAAATGGGCGAATATGAATCGAATTGTTGTCCAGCCCTATTGCGACAATATGTCGAACACCTCTTGTGCAGAAATTTTCTTTGAAGCGTAGAAGACCACCGATTTGTAGGGAATTATGCCGGAAAAATTTGGGTCCTGGTGGGAGTAGAAACGACCTGGCCGGAGACGGAGGGTCGCCAGAGGTTGCGTGCTCGGAGATGACTGCGTTGGCTGGAGGTCGGAGCTTGGACGGGAGTTGATGGCTGGGAGTGATCGAAGATGGAAGTTGAAGACGATGGCGGCGAGGGTTTTCGTGTTTGATCTATGAATCCACGAGAAAGAAAAAATTTATGAAGTCCCGACCGCGTCACTTATTTATTTAAGCTGAGAGCGCCGCGGCGCGACGCCTGCAGCGGCGCGATGGACTGCGGTGCCGCAGCGCGAAGCTTGTCACGACATGGTGAGGTGGTGCGAGCCGTCTGTTCCGTTCGGGATGGTGCCGCGGCGCAAAAGTTGCGTGATGCCGTGGCGCGGAGAATGCCGCGGCGCGATGACTTGTGGCAACAAAATCCTCTGTCCATGTTGTGGTGATGACGCGCCGCGAGCTCTGGGACCTGCCGCGGCGCGACGCCTGGAACCTGCAGCCAAATTTGATTTTTCGATTTTTTTTTTAATAAATATACAAATAGTACAAATAATTTCTCGGTTTATCGCCGCGAGCTCGGCACACTTTTCGCTCAAGGATACGGTGGATCACCGAGACTGATAGTCTCGATGTGGTGCTTTTCGAATTCTCCTTCGAAATACGGTTTCACTCTTTGTCCATTCACAACAAATAGCTCTCCGTTCGCGGGATTGCAAAGTCGGACGGCCCCAAGTGATAACATCTCATCAATGACGTAGGGTCCGCTCCACCGAGACTTAAGCTTTCCCAGAAAAAGTCGTAGGCGTGAATTGAACAAAACCACCATCATACCTGGCACGAGGCTCTTTCGAACAATGGTCGAGTCGTGAAGCCTCTTCACCTTGTCCTTGTAGATCTTTGCATTCTCGTAAGTCTCATTCCTCAATTCTTCGAGTTCCGGGAGTTGTAACATTCTATCTCGTCCGGCTATATCGAGGTCAAAATTCACCTTTTTGATCGCCCAGAACGCTTTGTGTTCAATTTCAACCGGTAGGTGACATGATTTCCCATAAACGAGCTGGAACGGGCTCATCCCCAAGACTGCTTTATATGCTGTTCGTTGGGCCCACAAGGCGTCATCGAGCCGACTCGACCAATCCTTCCGTGATGAATTGACCTTTTTCTCCAAGATGTTCTTGATCTGCTTATTGCTTGTCTCCGCCTGGCCCGAAGTTTGTGGGTGATAGGGAGTAGCCACTTTATGCGTTATGCAGTACTTCTTCATCAGTTTCTCGAAAAGTTTGTTGCAAAAGTGCTTCCCGCCATCACTCACAATCGCTCTTGGAAATCCAAACCTACGCAATATATACCCTTGCACGAACTTGAGCACAGTATTAGCATCACATATCCTCGTGGGGCTATCCTCCACCCACTTAGACACGTAATCGACGGCAAGTAAAATGTATTCGTAGCCATTAGACTTAGGAAACGGCCCCATGAAGTCAATGCCCCAAACGTCAAAAATTTCAACTTGAAGGTTATTAGTCAAGGGCATTTCATTCCTACGACCTATGTTCCCAGTCCTTTGGCATCGATCACAAGATCGGCAGAAAATATGAGCATCTTTAAAAAGGGATGGCCAAAACAAACCTGACTGCAATACCTTAAAGGCGGTTTTCTTACCACCAAAGTGGCCTCCGCAGTGGAATCCATGGCAGAAAGCGAGGACATCAGCTTGCTCCTCTTCTGGAACACATCTCCTAAGCACCTCGTCCTTTTCCATCTTGAATAAGAATGGCTCGTCCCAGAAGTAATCCCTACACACAGAAATAAAACGTTTTCTCTCTTGGGAAGAGAGATTAGGCCGCAGTTTACCACAACACAAATAATTCACTATGTCAGCATACCAAACACCTTTCGACACTTCATGTGCATGCTCATAAGGAAAATTATCATTAATAGAATGATGCACAATCAATGATGAAGATGAATCAGATGGAACTATGCGTGACAAATGATCAGCAACTACATTCTCAGAACCTTTTCTATCTTTTATATCAACATCAAAGTCTTGCAACAATAAGATCCACCGGATGAGCCGTGGTTTAGAATGAGTTTTGCTCAAAAGGTACTTCAAAGCCGCGTGGTCAGAGTGAATAATGACCTTAGAACCCAAAATATATGATCGAATTTTTTCAAGAGAAAAAACAACGGCTAGAAGTTCCTTCTCGGTGGTAGTATAATTCAGTTGGGCCCCATTAAGAGTCAAGCTAGCATAATAAATCACTCGAAGCAACTTATCAACTCGTTGACCCAAAACGGCGCCCACTGCAAGATTAGATGCATCACACATGATTTCAAAACGAATAGACCAATCAGGGGCAATAACAATTGGGGCACTCACGAGTTTGCTCTTCAATTCATTAAAAGCACATAAACAAGCATCATCAAATACAAATGGCACATCTTGGGCAAGCAAATGACACAATGGCTGACTAATTTTAGAGAAATCTTTAATAAATCGCCTGTGCCCCAAAAAACTCCTAATCCCCTTAACATTTACATGAGGAAGAAGTTTTTCAATAACATCAACTTTGGCCTTATCGACCTCAATCCCCCTACAAGAAACAATATGACCGAGGACAACTCCACTTTTAACCATAAAATGACTTTTTTCCCAACTCAATGTCAGATTAGACTCAATGCAACGTTCTAGGACTCTAGACAAATTGCGAAGGCAATGGGAAAAAGAATTACCAAATATAGAGATGTCTTCCATGAATACCTGCAGGCAATCTTCAAGCATATCTGAAAAGATGGAGAACATGCATCTCTGGAACGTGCCCGGGGCATTGCATAGGCCAAAGGGCATCCGTCTGAACGCGAAGGTGCCAAAAGGGCATGTGAATGTCGTCTTGGGCTGATCCTCTGGTGCAATGGCCACTTGGTAGTAGCCAGAGAGACCATCCAAGAAGCAGTAGAACTGATGGCCCGAGAGGCGATCCAGAATCTGGTCAATAAAGGGCAATGGGAAGTGGTCCTTCTTGGTCACAGCGTTCAGCCGCCTATAATCAATGCACATACGCCACCCGGTAGTGATGCGGGTGGGGACCAACTCCTTCTTATCATTCTCGGTCACAGTAATGCCTCCCTTCTTTGGCACGACATGAATGGGGCTGACCCACTCACTGCTCGCCACTGGATATATCAACCCCTCAGAAAACAACTTCAGCACCTCTTTCTTCACTACCTCCATCATATTCGGGTTCAGCCGTCGTTGGCTATTCCGAAACGGCTTGGCTCCTTCTTCCAAGATGATCCGGTGCATGCATGTGGAGGGGCAGATCCCCTTGATGTCTCCTAGACTCCACCCGATCTCCTTCTGGTTTTTTCTGAGCACGGTTATCAGCTCCTCCTCTTCCTCACTGTCGAGCTCAGCAAAAATGATCACCGGCTTCTGATGGGCATCATCCAAGAAAACATACTTAAGGTGCTTGGGCAGCTCCTTAAGCTCGAGTGTGATCTCAACTCGGGTATGGCCTTCTCCTACTTCAAAAAGCTCCACTATAGGCTCTTCCTCTTCCTCAAAAGCCGGCAACAAGACGTCTTCGAACTCCTGAAATACCATCTCATCCACAAAAGGGTCAGCAATATCAATAAAAGCACATTCTTCTATAAAATTGACAGAAGATGAAGACATGGCCCCTCGAACGGAAATAGACACCGACTCCCCCAGAACAGTCATATTCAGAGTACCATTCTTCACATCGATCAGGGTATTAGTTGTCGCCATGAAAGGTTGCCCGAGAAGGATGGTGTGATCCTTCCCATTCTCGGGCATATCCCAGACGTCGAGCACAACGAAGTCCACTGGAATAATAAGCTTTTCCACCTTCACCAGAACATCCTCGACTACTCCCTTGGGATATCTGATGGAACGGTCTGCTAACTGAAGGCACATGCGAGTTGGCCTCAAATCCCCAAGGCCGAGCCTTTGAAAAATCGAGAAGGGCATGAGATTGATTCCGGCTCCGAGGTCAAGCATCCCCGAGGCTACCTTCCCATTCCCCAAGGCTATCTGGATAATGAAACCACCGGGCATAGCACTCGCCGCCTCATACACAACCACCTTCTCTCCATCTTCGAACTTCCACTTCTTGGTCACCAAGTCCTTAAAGAACTTACCATATGATGGCATATTCTTAATCACATCCAGGAGCGGTAAGTTGACATTCACCTTGGAGAGCATGCTGAAGAGATCTCGAAACTGTTTCCTTTGCTTCTCGTTCTTAAGTCGGTCCGGAAAGGGAATGCGCAGCTTGAACGGATTCGGCGACTTATGCAGCGCCGGCTCGTCTGTCGCCTCCCCGGACTCTGATTCCTTGATCTTTTCTGGAGTCTCTTGATCCTCGGGCTCGGGCATCTGCACTTTGTTGTCCACTTCCTTCCTGCTCCTGAGCACAGTGAT